AGTTTTGTTTTTTAATTGTACACCTATAATCAAATAAGTTGAATTGAAAATAAATTCGGTCTAACCTCGTAAATAGAAACATGAAGAACATTTTAGGACGAAGGGAGTATTTAGGATAATTTAATAATGAGAAATATCTGTTTGGACCACTTGGTACCAAAATATCAATCTAGGTGGAATTAAGAGCATCTCAATTCCTTATATCATTCACAATAATATAAATAGATTTCGAATAAACGTAGGGTGCACTAAAATGGGATACTCTATTTGTGGAGCAAACAACCGACATATGTAAATAAAAAACTCATTACTGACAGTGTAAAAGAAAATTTCCTTGCAGTGCAATACGGAGTAGCCAACTCCGTTGCTACTCGAATATTTTAAATTAAACGAAGTAGCCAACTCCGTCTCAATTTATTTATGGGCCGTATCCAACTCCGTCTCAGTTTATTTATTAAATATTAAATGTCATACGGATTAGCTAAACCCGTCTCCCCATCCGATAGTCTCCTCCACTCAACCCTTGGATGCTAAGAGGGTATTTGGGAGTGATTAACTTGTGGATAAAGTGATTTCCAAAAAAGCTGAAAGCAAAAGCAATTAATATTTGCTTCTCGAAACGGTGTTCTAAGTACAAAATAGTGGTAGTGAAAAGCAGAAATTGACATGCCAAATAGAGTAAAACCACTTCCACACAAAGCAGAAGCTAAATTATTAGAAGTAACGCACTGCCAAACACCCTCTAATACAAACTTAATTTCCTTCTTCAAGTTAAAGTATTAAGTTATTAACAATAATAAATGAAATAATTTCTTAAATTAATAATAATAAATGAATGCATAAAAAAATGATAAATGAAATTTAAAAAATAACTCAAAATAAGAATAAAACATACACGATCTGTTCTAAATTAAAAAATATTTTCTCTTTCATTTTTTTTCTTTTCAACAAAACACTTCAAATTTTTATTAAAAAATTCCTTTTATCCTTATTTTTTCTTATCCTACCTATCACATCACACTTTTATCTAATAATCTATCTATGACAAAATTGGAAGTCAAATACTGTATAATTTAACACTTCCTTATTTTACCACTGAGAAATTTACCTAAATAGGACTAAAACATAATGACTTTCCCAATATAGGACCTTATGTTTTTATTTCCTAATGTAGGACTTTTAGTCATTAACAAGTAGTCATTATTCAAGTAAATATCTAGCATTAGTGGACATTATTCCTCCTACTAGGTCATTATTAAGTCCTATTTAGGGAATAAAAAAGTTTAAGTTCTACATTAGGAAAGTCATTATGTTTCAGTCGTATTTAGTGCAAATTTCTCTTTACCACTTTGTCAATAGAGGAACTTTTTTCAAGAACGGAGTGAGACTTCATATCTCTTAAACGAGTATTAAAATAAAAATGATACTTTTTATCTTGAAAAAAAGTTTATATTTTGATATTGTATATTGCCACTCTATAGTGTTTTTTGACATTTTATTTATTATTGACATTATAACTTCTATTTCGAGAATAATAATATAAATTTTATATTTTGATTTTTTTAAAGTTACTATTTCTAGTTTCATTGTTTTCCTCAAGCATCAAAATTTAATTATCTCTACTTATTTAATTTTATACTTGAATATTATCTTAATGTCTTTTAATGATCACCTCCGCTTACTACAATAGAGTAATTTTTAATTTATTTTAAAATTAAAAATTTTATTTTCCTTTTAAAGTAATCTAATTATATTTCCGTACAATGTAGGAATGAAATACTAGTTTAATTTTATATTGGTAGCCATTATGTTTAGTATTTTCCTTTTATTTAATATATTTTATTTCGGTTATGTATGTAAACTTTACTTGTTTATTTCAGTAATGTATGTAAACAATTTACCGATAGCCATTATCTTTCGTATTTTTCCTTTGTTTTATGACATTTTATACTCCCACCTACCCATTTCTTCCCAGTCCCACCTAACCATCCATTCTCATTCCCACATGCCCATTTATCCCCCTCCCAACTAACCACCCATTCCCACTCCCACCTGCCCATTTATTCCCCCTCCCAACTAACCACCTTTTTCCACTCCCACCTAATCATTTATTCCCACTCCCAACTAACCACACTTTCCCACTCCCACCTAACTACATATTTCTACTCTCACTCTACATCTTATAAATACCACCCAATATCTCCATTTCGAACACACCAACACCATTATTTTACACACCAAAATAAACAATGTTAGAAGACGATAGTATACTTCTTGTAGCTCATTGGAATGGTGAGATACAAGTTGTAAATAGTGAAGTTCAATACTCTGAACTTCTGAAGAAGTCTTTGTTGTTAAATTCTGATATACCTTATGATACCTTTCTTGTAAACACAATCAACCGATTCACCAACTTGTTTTCAGTTCAGGTATGTGTTCTAGTCCTTCAAGGCATCCATAGATGGATTTTACTATTGTCTTCCAGTTATTTCAGTTGATGGAACTCACTTATACGACAAATATAAGGGATGTTTATTACTTGCAATGGCAATGACGGGAAATGGTGAAATTTTTCTCCTCGCTTTTTCCATTGTGGATGCTGAAGATGGTGCAAGTTGGAAATGGTTCATGACGAATGTCATGCGTCATGTCGTACCCCCACACCGCCATATATGCATAATATCTGATAGACACGGTGGTATTGACCACGCATTTGCAAATGTTCCAGAGTTGGGTGGAGGTCAAGTGACTCGAAGATATTGTCTCCGCCACCTACGAAGCAATTTCTGGAAGAAGTTCCGAAGTAAGAAACTGCGGACCTTGATGTACAAAGCTGGTGAGGCCCCGAACAGAAGTGAGTACGACCAGTTGCTCCTCCGAATAGCGTCCAAAAATCAAGAAGCTTACAACTGACTTAATTCCATTCCAAAACACATGTGGGTGTTGCCACATGATGAAGGTCGCGCATGTTATGGTATAATGACTACGAATTCGTCAGAAAGTTTCAATAATGTCCTTAAGGGATGTCGTTGTTTGCCCGTATATGCCATTGTGAAGTTCACCTATGATAAGTTGGTCAAACTTTTCGCTGAGAGGCGAACAAATGGATATGTACGGCAATAATCCGGGTACAATTTTCCTATGAATGTGTGGAAACATATTAGAAAAAAAGAATAAAATAGGCTTTATTGTCATGTTGTGCAGCACCATGCACAACAAGGGATATACTCTGTAGTGGTGGATGGGTCGTCCAACATTGCTCACCGGGAGACATTTACGGTGAACTTAAATGCACGAACATGTAGCTGTGGCCAATGGGTAACATTTCACATCCTGTGCAGTCATGTCCACGCAGTATGTCATTACTGTAGTTTTACCGTGGATCATTTTATTCCAAATGTTTTTTCAATTCAGTCCTACATCAACGCTTACTCTAGCATAATAATGCCGCTTCCAGATGAGTCTGAATGGCTTACTTCAGAGTACGAGATACTGAGGTCAACGCCAAGACAGAGCACATGAACTGACAGACCTACGAGAACACGCTACACGAATAACATGGACTATCGACCACGGAGACATCACAACGAGGAATAGCTATGTCATGAATTTCAATTGTGTCTGATTTTATATATTATTAAATTTTACAAATAAGTTAGTCATGGATTGTGTTTTGTAATCTTATTTTTATGAATAAATTGTTATATGTCCTCTATCAATAAATGTATTGTATTTTTATATTTTTTATAGTAGGTTTTTTTACATCTATATTTTTTTGTATGTTTCCTTTATTTTGTAATTAAATTATTTTATTAAATTAATTTATTATAAATAATATCTAAGTAACAAAAATTAATCGATTTCGTTGAGAAACTTAAATTAAAAAAGTATTTAATAAAATATTTTTAAAAAAGTTAGAAAGGTTTAAAGCAAAAAAATTGAAACAAAAAACAACCATTTGATTAAGAAAATTATAATTGGAACAAAAAATTGGGAAAAAAATTCGCACAAAAAAAAGTTGGAACAAAAAAAATTGGAACAACAAAGCAAGAAAACTCCATTTGGCACAATAAAATCGGAACAAAATGTGAGACGGAGTAGCCAACTTCGTTTGGTAATTAAATGGAGGACACGGATTAGACTATTCTGTTTGGGTCAATAATAAAGTCTGCCAACTCCGGTTGGTATTATTTGCGAAATCATGAATTAAAAAAGTATATAATGGAATGAAATGCAACCAATCTACACCGACAGGGAATTCACCATCATTTGTGCACCAGGCAAAAACAGATATTTAGTATCTGTGATCGCAGACATTAAGTGTATGTGTATGTCTGATGTATAAATGGACTAATGGAGTACCCCATTTTGGTATACCCCTAACATGACTCATAGATATTTTATAATGTATTAATATGGATCAGTGTGCAAGCCCATCTCAATCATTCCATTGTCAACATTTTCAATTTTATTCAACAATGTTGTCATCACCCTCATCTTCTAAATTGAGCTCAATTAAAATGTATACAAACGTGATAAAATCAACTAGGTAGCACTTTGACGCTATATTTTCTTTTGGAAATTTGATCAACATTGTTATCAAACATATGGCTTGCTCTTAATGCGGTTCATTTTCTTAAGGCCTTTTTCAACGATAGAGAACAAAACAACAAAAGGAGAATGACGAGAAGGGCGAAATAACATTGGATGTGGACAGCAAGGAGGACGAAACAGCAGGAAATGGGGATGGCGAGGAGGATGAAATGAAGAGAAGAAATCGTATGAGGAGGGAGGCGACGGTGGAGCAAAAACTATCTTCCAAAAAAAAAAGTGGAAGACAAATTCCATATTTCATACCTCATTTTCTTTTTGACCACTACTCATTTTCCATTGAGGCGTTGACTTGGCTTCCAAACACTTGAAAAAAGAGAAAATAACCTCAAGAAGTCATTTCCTCACTTTCCAAATGGATCCTAATAGTATGCCTAAAATCAGGATAATTTTGTGTTTCTCATTTTTTCCTTCTCAATACGAATGCAACTTCGATCCCTTGCTTGCACATTGAGAGACCTCTCTCAACCAACCACGCTAATGAGTAGTCCGCTCACCCAAAATTAGGGTAGCTGTGATGAATGTTTTAGGTTACATTTTAAATTTGAATTCATCTCAACCAAACATCAAATATATAGCAAAAAAACTAGATTTGAACCACACGCTCAGAATCACGAGCAGCATTCTTGAATTACGAATCTCCTCCGAGAAATATGGCCGATCCAAAGCACCTCTTTCCTATGGCTCCGGAGCTCTTCTCGTGCCAACCTTCACCTTCCTTGTAAACTTCAACCTGTCAATCACAGTAGAGCAGAGTGGACGATAATGTCATTACAGTTTTACATGAAGCCCCGTGTAACCCGAAGCTTGGAATCAAATAAATTTTTAACACGTACCGTTTCTACAATGTCCTCTCCACATCTCACCCCTCCAATTGCAAAAATGGAGTCCTTCATAACTGCAGCTGCTAAATATCCCCGAGATTGGTTCATTGCCTGTCCCGGCATCCATTTCCCCAAACGAGGATCATACACTTCAGTGCTTGCCACCATTGCAGATCCATCAAACCCACCTATTGCATATCTGCATTTCATTACTCAAATCAGTACAACGTTCACGCTTTCCTTGTGATTTTTTTTGGATACATGATGCTCTCTGTAGTCTACCCATAATTCCGTGTCTATTGTAAGAGAGAATGCAACCTCAATTTGCAGGGTGGGGGTAAGAATGGAAATAAGAAAAGAACATACAACTTTTCATCCATAGTAACCAACACATGACAGCCTCGTTCCGTACTCATACTCTCAATCCTCGTCCAGCTATGCTCCCTGGGGTCAAATCTTTCAGCAGACCTGGAATATATATATTAAATCATTCTCGAGGTGCAACAAATTTGACAGGAGAAAAAGATCCAAAATTTTTTAGAACAATAGAAACCACCCTATTATGGGGTGATAAGGTTCCTATTTTCTCATCATACAAGGGATGAATTGAAGTTTTTTTGCGTGGTACATTTTTAAAAGAAGCAATAATACCCTTACAGAAAAGATCGTGGTTTAAGGGGTCTGTTTGGACCCTAGAAAATACTGGGTAGGAAAAATATGAAGGAACAAGGAATATAGAGAAAAATCGAAAGGAAATAAAATTTAGGGGAAAATAAAAGCCATGCTCAAACAAAATAAATTCATGTCAAGATATTTTTTTTCAAACTCATTGTATTTATTTATTTTAAATTTATAAGGGGCCTGTTTGGGAATAGCGTTAGAGATTAGCGTTAGCGTTTTGAAAAGGCTATCTACGGCCAGCGTTTAGCGTTAGCGTTTTCAAAATAATCCGCACCGTTAAAATTTTATCCAAAACGCTAACGCTAATCTCTAAAGCTATTCCCAAACAGGCCCAAGAATGATAGATACCATATTCCATTTTTACATTGTATTATTCAAGGCAAACAAGGTATAAGAAATAAATTCCCTTGGCACTTTTTTTTCTTTACCATTATTTTCTGAAATTTAAGCTTACCCTAAAAAACTGTCACTGTAAATGGAGCCATGGTTCTAAAAAAATGGGTACAGAAAAGTATTGTTTGCATACTTCAAATAGTTGACTCCATCATATCCACCTACAGCATACAAGGCACCATTGAGCTCAGCACCAGCAAGAGCAAACCTCTGGACAACAACAAATATATCAAAACATAAAAAAGTAAATAATGGAGCCATAACTTACCACAGATCGTAAAATGCAATCACAGGTGTTTTGTATTAAAAAGTATAAACAATGCAAAGAAAATTCAACATTACAGATGTAGGAAATCAAACTAGTCTATTAGAGGTACAGGGTGCTAATTCATATAATTACACTATGTATGACTTTAGAGTTAAAATCCCAAGGAAATGTGAGATATGATTTTTTGGGACAAACCAACAAAAAAACTAGGAAGTTCATTTTGGGACATAGATAGTACAACGAGTTCGAACAATATCTTGGAATGAATTTATTGTGCTTGAACTTGAAAAAATGCCCTAGAATCTTGTCTGATTTCCTAATAAAAATATTTTGAACACGTGTTTATGATTATCCCATTGGTGCAGCCACTAAAGAGATATGTGAAGCTGAAAGTTATACTTTCTTAGGCAACAGAGATGAAAACATCTGTCAGGATAAGAGACAAGTAGAAAACACTATTATTACCTCCCTCACTGTTCTCACTCTTCAGTGGCCAAAGTTAGACCTCTTTAAAATCACATCAATGATAGTGTCCAGAAAACCAAGACTATTTTAAAAAGATTATTGAAACCAAGTGAATCTTCAAGTTGGTCACGTGACTAAGTGACTTGATTTGTTTCTTGATAAGGTCCGAGGCAAAATGCTAGCAACCAAACCACTTCAGAGTCTACCCAAAGTCTTTTTTAAAAGAATTTTGTCAGGAAGTGAGTCATATGTGTTGGACAATGTACTATTGCACGAATATCTATATTGCAAAGATATTTTCAATTGTCATAGGTTATGATAATGACAACCTCAATCAAGTGACAATCAAGGCGTAGCATAGTCAAGAGCTTCAAGGAACACTATTTGTCATTTGATATAAGGGGAAGTGAATGTTTTGATGGCATTCATGCAAAGGGAAATTTTCTATTGAAATGATTGATATTTAAATGTCAATATATTCCTTAATATGATTGAAAGACGAGGGATAATATGATCGAACATATTTGCAAGCTAGGCATTGAATATTTTAGTGATTGATCTTGTTGAGGTAAGAATGAAGCTTGTTAAACCTCAAAGTAGGGGATTGACATAAGAAGAAAAGAGCATTCAAGTCTCATCTACTCATGAAAAGGAGCTGCTCATGATATTAAATGATGAGTAAGACCAGTCACCAAACTAAGTATAGGTAGTCTTGATTACTTCCAAGTTGGCTAATTTTTGACAAAATATATACTCATATTTGTTTGGAGTTTAACAAAGTAGGAATATCTATTCGCTAGGAGAGGTTTTTATTTTGGCATTTAGAGCTGCTGAAGTTTTTCAAGGATGCTGCAATGTCAAAAATCAAAATAGGAATCAGAGTCCTAATGGGAATTGCTAAAACTTGTGACTTATTTAATAATTTCCCGCTCGTGTAAGAAGTCCTAATCCAACTTCTTGTAGATCAAGATCAAAGAAATCGTATTCAAGACAACTTCTAGTTACATATTCTAACTATTCTTAGTTTTAATGGGTTATTTATGCAGGGGCAGATCTAAGTATTAGGCCCCTGGTAAAAAATGTGTGCCCCGGTGCCAAAAAGAATATTCTAGTTTAAGAGTAAAAAATAATTATTTAAATAAAATATAAAGGTAAAATATTTGACATATCATAGTTATATTAGGTTATGATATAGTTTATATTATATTTTCTACTTTAAAAAATATTTTATTTTACTTATTTGAATGCCTCTTTGAAACTAAACTTATTCATTTTTTATCATTTAAAATTAGTATTAAAACAAATTTCACCCAACCTACTTGTTACTATGAGTTTGTCCC